AATCAGGGGAAACTGAAATGTTTATTGCTTCTACTTCCATCTGTTATCAATAAGTTTTAGCTACAGGGTCATCAGCAGACCCAGTGAAAATCACCAGGCACAAAACCGTTAGACCACAGATTAGGTCAAACTCTGTTGAAAAGCACTGACAGACTTATTAAACTCAGACTCAGATTTTGGTGTGACTTGAGAAATTCATTCTAGATCAGCACTGTCTAATGAACAGAATAATGTTTTAAAAGTTTGTTAGGGCTGGGCGCACAGTGGTTCACGCCTGTTATTCCAGCACTTTGGCAGGCCAAGGCTGGCAGACTGCTTGAGGTCAGGAGTTCGAGACCAGACTGGCCTTGAAACTCCATCTCTATTAAAATACAAAAATTAGCTGGGCATGGTAGTGGGTGCCTGTAATCCCGGCTGCCTGGGAGGCTGAGGTAGGAGAATCACTTGAACCATGGAGGCAGAGGTTGCAGTGAGCCAAGATTGCACCACTGCACTCTAGCCTGAGCAACAGAGTGAAACTCTGTCTTAAAAATAAATTAAAATAAAAAAAGTTTGTTAGACTGACAGTCTAGAGACCTAGGCTTCTTCATTGAGCAGTTGTGACGATGGGAACATCATCTAATGTCTTTGCACTTCATGTTTCTTATTTGTAGATGATGATTGAAATTCTACACTTCTCTTGTCCCTCCTAGCTCTAAAATTCTTTAATATAACATTAGCCTGTAAAGCTGAATTCTGACCTGGTCTGGTGAAATATTAATTGTGGGCATTCAGCCCCATTGTACCTCTTACACGACTTGCAGATCATTTTCTGTGGAAAACACATTTTAATGAAAATAGAAAATCAAAATCTCAGTTTTCTCTCTACTTCTTACTGTCTTTGAGACTTAATAATTTACTCAATCCTTTTAAATCTGTTTCTTTAACTATAAAATGAAAACCTAATACCTCTATGACTTAAATAATATGTTACAGTAAAACTCAAGCGTATAATTACAAACAAATCAAAACTCCCCACAAAACATAAGGAATGATGTCTTTTAATAGAAATAAGGCTATGGACTTTCTTTTTTTCTTTTCTTTTTTTCTTTTTTTTTTTTTTTTTTTTTTTTTGAGATGGAGTCTTACTCTGTCACCCAGGCTGGAGTGCAATGGCGAGATCTTGGCTCACTGCAACCTCCACCTCCTGGGGTGAAGCAATTCTCCTGCTCAGCCTCCTGAGTAGCTGAGATTACAGGTGCCTGTCACTGCACCCAGCTACTTTTTTTTTTAAGTAGAGATAGGATTTCACCCTGTTGGCCAGGCTGGTCTCAAACTCCTGACCTCGTGATGCTCCCATCTTGACTTCCCAAAATGCTGGAGTTACAGGCATGAGCCACCGCACCTGGCCAGCTATAGACTTTCTTAAAAGTCTTTAAAATATTGTCCACAGTGTTAATCGACTTGGGCTGTTACAACAGGATACCACAGATTGGATGGCTTAAAAAACAGAATTTTTTTTTCCACCTCAGTTTTTTGAAGACTTGGAAGTCAAAGTTCAAGTCAGCAGATTTGGCTCTTGGTGAGGGCCTTCTTTCTGGCTGGTAGGCAGCCGCCTTCTCTTTGTAACCTCACATGGCAGAGGGGAAGCTCTGGTGTTTCTTCCTCTTCTTATGAGGGCCCTAATTCCATCATGGGGCTCCACCCTTATCTAAACCTAATTATATCTCAAAGGCCCCACCTTCTCATACCATCACATTGGGGGTTAGAAATTCAACATACTGAATTTTGAAGGACACACACATTCAGTCTATAGTGCATTAATGCAGGGAGGAAGACGTTGGCACAATTGATACATGGTTTGATATCCCCCGAAGGAAAGGAAATCCTGAAAAGTCATTAACAGCTTGAAGTTACTATAATTTTGCCATTAAAAATATGGCAAGAGGATAAACTCTTAAATTCAAAATTTCAACAGTCAAACCATCTTTCTTTAACAAGTTTGTATATGTTGAATTCTGTGAGAAAGTGAAATTCTAAAAGAACTGTAAAGATCAGCTGGAAACTCTCCTCACTTTATGGATGGGAATGCTGAGAGCACCAGAAGTTGAGTGTGTTAGCAAATTGCTGATTATGGGTGGAGACAGGTCCTAAAATGATGTTTCTTCTTCTGTTTCATATCTTTAGGCGCAGTCATTTCAGCATCCCTAGGTAGACATTGTATTACTTAGAGATTTGCTTCCACCAGGACTTATCCAGAGGATGTGTAGGATTTGCTAGCAGTGTGATCATTCTGTAGGGCGAGCTGGGAGTCACCACAAAGAGCATCTTTCCCACCTCCTTTGTTCCGATATGGGGAAAGTGAGAAGTTAAGTTGTTAGCCAAAGAGTCTCATAACTAAGAGGCTGGATGATGCAGGGAAAAGCATGCAGGCTTTGAGGAGGTCAGGCCAAGGATGAAACTTGGTTCTACCACTTTTTAGCTGTGTGACCTGGGGACAAGTAGTTTTAGCTTTATAGGCCTTCAGTTTCACATCTGTAGATTAATAATGTAAAAGTGAAACCAGACAACAGACAAAGTGCCTGCTACATATTAAGCACTACCCAACCCCCAACTTCTTTTTTAGTAGCAAATCATGATCTAGCAACCTCAATTCTTAACTCCCTAGTCTAGTGCACTTTCCATTACACTTCATGCTGCATGGGTAACATTGTTTTGAAGTGAGACTATTAAGTGCCTTTTTAAAAACCTTATCTTCCAAAATCAATCTGTTCACAATTTTAATAATTCATGAAAGGAGCTAGAATTTGGCCCACAGAGAATTTTATGAACCAAAGGGTTATTTTTAATTGGAGTTTGTGCCTGTTGTTATGGAAATAGTTGTTGCATAGATTAAGCGTTATGACTTTACTGCAAGATCAAGCCCAGGATGGGGTATAACGATGATATCACCCTTATGTATGCTTCCTTTCCTTGACAAAATATATTTAAAAATGAAAAGAATAGAAGTGAAGCTGCTTCAAAAGCACATATTTCTAACAAAAAAAATCCCCTGTAAAAATAGCTATAAAATGATATGTTCTCTTTTCAAGGATCAAAATGAAAGATGACCCTTACTGCCAGCAGGATGCTAAGATGCTGCAGAGTTATTAAACACTTCTTTCTTCACTATTGAATTTAGAAAGAGGTTTTTTTTTTTGTTTTTTTTTCATCCTGGAACTTGCTTTCAACATTTGATCTCAAAGTATTTTGCAGTTGCTGGACTAGCAGGCTTTCTCTAGTTATTTAGCCATCAATCTCTTAAAACTGTTATATCTAGAATAGTTTTAAATTCATGTGTCTGGATTTGTAATTTAATTTCTCTAAAGAAACAAAAAGATATAAATAACTGAGGCAATTCATCCTGTAAAATTTACCTCATATCACTGGCTCATTTCTAACCTGAGATATACCAGCCAAGGATACAACACTTGAATTATTAGTAGCACCATAAGAGAGAAATCAATATGCTGGTGGATAAGCTGTAGTTCTGAAAGCAAACAATGATCTCATGTGGATGGAAACCTCAGGTTTTCTTCTACTCGGTTCTCTCTCTCTCACTCGATCTCTCTCGCTCTCCTTTTACTTTTCTTCTTCTCCTTGGCCTGTATCTTTACTTTCTCATATATCCTCCTGTGATCCTTGGGCATTAATTGGTTTTGCTGGCAGAATTTGGTTAAACCAATTGTGAACTCCAATCCTGATTCTCAATCCATTGAAAGCCATGAAACTCAATGATATAATGCCCTTCATTATTTTAATGTACCACCATGTTTCCATACTTAAAAAAAAAAAAACCACCAGGGAAAAAAATCATTACCAAACAATGTATCTTTAATGTTGTTTTTTCTCAATGACTCATAATGTCAGATTAGTAGAAATACTTATTTTTTAAATAAAACTATCCAGTTATATTAGAAGCATTTTCCTTTACTTTTTTCTTTTTTTTGAGGTGAGGGATATAGTCTAACTTAATCATTTCAATAATTTCTGCCAAACAGCTTTCTGAAATCATATGTCTCTGCTGAGTCCATTTAAATTTCATTTGCGTAGGTTTATATAGATTCACTAGCAGTTATTCACTAGAAGTATAACAAGAAGTTATACTTCTTGCCCACTCACTGCCCACTGGTAATCCCTTGTCCTCTCCTGTTGGTTAACATCACTACTTTTCCTTCATGTTCAACAGTTGGCCCATTATTGGCTGTGCCTATTTTTTTTCTTTCCTTTTTTTCAGTCCACTTACTGTGAGTCAATACGTATACCTATACTTGCCAGAAGTGCCTCCACCACACACAGAGAGATTTGCGACATACAGGTCCATTAGTTGTAAGGTTTATTTCTATGTATTTTTTAGACTCAACGTTCCATACATCTAGGAGGCTAAAGAACCTAAGAACTTGTTGAGCACTGTAGGTACCAGGTATAAGAGCAGAATACCAGCTATCACACAAGATAGTACCTTCTCCCAGAGTCTACTGGAAGACTTATCTCACTGAAAATGATTAGCTTGTGAGCTGCAGTCAGATATCTTCTAGAACTCAGAGGTTATGTGATGGCTAGACACTTTGTTCGCAGGAAAGTGGTAACTAAAAATCAGAGAATTTATTTTTAAAATCTGTGTTTAAATTTGGGTGGGTTCCCAGTTCTATATTGACTGTGCCTATTTATGACAGCAGGTTAATTTACTTGTTATAGATCAATGCGTAGGGTTAAAGATTCTTAAATGGTCACACCTGAATGTTTGTAAATTTGTCATTTTCCTTGCTTGCTATGACTCTAATGGGCTTGAAAATTGGTCCAGCCCACCTCTCTTCTCTCTCTCCTTTCTCTCCCTCCTCTCTCTCTTTCTTGCTCTCTTCTCTCTCTCTACCCTGTCCCTCACCTTCCCCGCTTCTTTGTCTCTTTCTCTCACTCTCTGTGAGGTTCATTTGCTTGACTGATTCTGAGTGTCCATAATGACTGTTTGGCATATTCTACAGGCAAAGGTCCTGAGACTCTTTTTGCCGGCTATAACCTCAATGACAACGAGTGGCACACAGTGCGTGTAGTTCGGCGTGGAAAAAGTTTAAAGTTAACGGTGGATGACCAACAGGCCATGACAGGTAAGCACCCCTGTTCCCATTGCCTTTTCCTATGCTAACACTTTTGACTCTCATTTCTTGCAGGTGACTTTGCACACCAAAGCTGGTACACAACTTGAAGCTTATACACACAATCCATTTTTATTTGATTTTTTCTAGTAACAATTTTATTAAATAAGCAGTCTGTTAAGTGTTTTTCCCCAAAAATGACACGTTTTATGTCATATTATTGGCCCTTTAATAGTGCAAGAAGAATTTATAATATATTTTATTTTTGTGGCCTGATAAATATCTTACTGCCTCATCAAATATTGCAGTCATGTTTAGATGCCAATATCTGTTGAGTTTTTTGTTTTGTTTTGTTTTGCTTTGTATATGTTTTGGTCAAGAAAAACTGCAAGTTTTATCTTTTAACTTCTAGGTAAGTTGATAGATACACTGGCATACTGTCAGATGAAATGCCTTTTCATTTTAAGCTATAATAGATTATTTTTGGCCATTTATCTTAGTTGGTTAAATTCTAATATTGAGGATGTCAAGTTCAACCCCCATTTTTACATTCCTGAGGTGAGCTGTATGCAGATCCACCCTAGAAACACAGGAAAGCCACAAGGAAGACAAATCCTTGTGCCTTTATTTACTTTGAAAACAACTCCAAGCACATGACCCACTGGGATATTAGCTTCTTTTTCTTTTTTCAGAGAAGATAGCCGTGTTAATTATTCTGGTAAAAAGCACAAAATGGTCCTTTTACAGTGGATATATGTCTGTTCATTCAATTTGAAGGAGGTCCCCATGCCCAGAGAACAGTCAACTGTATCAATGTGGAGATATGACCTATAGGATTTTAAACTTTTGAAAGAATCATTCCTTAGGGAAGGAAGGTAAACAATTTTACAAGGCAGAAGAGTATCAGCCGAAGTTCGATTAGTTTTGGTCTAGGACAGTTCTTTGAAAAGGAATGGATTGTTTTTTAGATCAGCATCCATAGTTTGGACAACGAGATTTTCTCAAAAGACATGGAAATGAGCATTAGGATCTAAGGTCACATGTAAGAGCTGGGAAGAGGCAGCTGCCAACAGCAAGATCATGCCAGAACTACAACAGAACATTTTTTTTTTTTTTTTTTTGAGACGGAGTCTGGCTCTGTCACCCGGGCTGGAGTGCAGTGGCCGGATCTCAGCTCACTGCAAGCTCAGCCCCCCGGGTTTACGCCATTCTCCTGCCTCGGGTTTACGCCATTCTCCTGCCTCAGCCTCCCGAGTAGCTGGGACTACAGGCGCCCGCCGCCTCGCCCGGCTAGTTTTTTGTATTTTTTTAGTAGAGACGGGGTTTCACCGTGTTCGCCAGGATGGTCTCGATCTCCTGACCTCGTGATCCGCCCGTCTCGGCCTCCCAAAGTGCTGGGATTACAGGCTTGAGCCACCGCGCCCGGCCACAACAGAACATTTTTAAGTCTCTGAGTGCCTCCCGAATATTACAGAGTCCTGTGAAGTAGATAGGGCACACACATATTCCCATTCTGTAGATGAGATAAGTGGTACTCGAGCAGGATAAGTGAATTATGTTTTATTGGAATGTGTTACGAGATCTAAGGAGAGAACCTATGTTTGTTTTTTGTTTTGTGTTTTTTGGTTGGTTGGTTTTTGACTTACAGTCCATTGCTTTATATTCGTCAATATCCTAGTAAGTGTATGGCTCTATAGAAAGTATTTTCTTAGACAATGCATGTTATTATAAGGAAAATACACACATACATATAAAACACAGATTGTTATAGAGTATGATATGTTACATAGAGTAATGGATGAACTACTGAATGGTTGACGTGAGTACTTTATGGTCTTGGAGTTCAGAAGAGAAGTTGAGGAACTTGGTTTCAGGTATTGTTAAAGCAATTGATAATACTTGATCTAGGCTTTAAAGAAAGGATAATGCAGGAGAGAATTCCACACAAGAAAGAATGATGCTGATGGGGCTAAAGTAATGTTCAGGGAACTAAGAAGCTTCATTTTGCTTCTTGCAAACATATGGCGGTGGGCATGACTAGAATGGCCTTTTGAGGCCAATGAGTTGATGGTCTAGATGAAGGAGTTCATATTTCGTAGACTTTCAGGAAATTGGAAGTCACTGCATTTAAACTGAAGAGTAAGTGGAGAAAATATGTTTTGAGCGAAATTAATTATGTGGTAGTGTTTTAGATGGTCCAGGATGTAAAGTAATAAGTCCTTTACTGCAGTGGATGTACCAGGGATGAAAACCGAAGAATGGTGAAAAACATTTTTTTAAGAAATTTATTTTAGAAAGTTATTTCAAAATAATTTCAAATTTACAAAAAGTTCCAAAAATAATACAAAGAATACCCTTATAGCTTTACTATTGTGAACATTTAAGCCAACTTGTTTTGACATTTGTGCTCTTTCACTGTCTCTTCTCTCTCTCTTTCTTACTTTTCTCTTAGCCAGTTGAGGGTAAGTTACATATACAATGTCCCTTTAACCTGAAATACTTCACCATATATATATATTTTTTTAATGGGAATATCCCCTTATTTAAGAAATAAAAGCCACTGACTTTAGTAAACTTTGCATAGATACAATTTATTTTTCTAATCTGTCATCCATATTCCAGCTTTGTCAGTTGATTCAATGTTATTAATATGCTATAAGCATTTTTCCCCTCCAGCACAGTGTGCAGTCTAGGGCCAGCTATTTTTTTTTTTTAAGTTGTCATGTTTCTTTAGCCTCCTTTAATCCAGAACATTTCCATGAACATTCTTTGTTTTCATTACATTAACATTGTTGAAGTATATAATCTCTTCCTGTTTTGTATTAATGCAAAGTCACTCAGTTTATGTTTATCTGATGTCTCCTCATGATTGAATGTGTATTTTACATTATTGGATGAAATACTGCTTTGCTATTGTTATGTCCTCTGTACAGTATCCCATCGGAGCACATGCTGCCCACGTCTTTGGTGATTTAATTTGACCACTAGGTCAACGTGTTGTCCATTTTCTCCATTTCACAATTACGTTTTGTCCCTTTCAACTAGTAAACTGTCTATGGGGAGATATTAAGACCATGCACATATCCTGTACCTCATCACAATTTTGCCCTAGATTTAGTATCTACTGGAGAGTTTTACTTGATTCAGTCTTTGCACTGAGAGTTACAAAAATTGATTATTTTCAAACTCCAGCACTCCTTCCACATTTACAGTCAATGCTTAGCATTCTGCTGCAAGCAAGGACTCTTCTTCTCTCTCCCTTCTTTCTTTTTTTTAATTGGTCTTTCTTTTCATTTCTCTTTTTTTCTGTCTTCCTCCTTTCCTTTTTTTCTTTTTGTTGTAGACCCACTATTGCTATGTTTTTATAATACTTCATTATTACTCTGTCTTATGATTTTGGTGCCCAAATGTTTTTTCAATTTTTGCCAGTGTGAATTTCATTAAGTTGGCCTCTATGATCTCATGACATGCCTTCATTTTTTTTTTGTACTTACTTTTTTTTTTCTTTTTCTTTCCTTTTTTCTTTTCTTTTTTTTCTTTTCTTTTTTTTTTTTTTTTTTTTTTTTTTTGATATGGAGTCTCGTTCTGTTGCCCAGGCTGGAGTACAGTGGACTGATCTCAGCTCACTGCAGCCTCTGCCTCCCACGTTCAAGTGACTCTGTTGTCTCAGCCTCCCAAGTAGCTGGGATTACAGGCGTGTGCTACCATGCCCAGCTAATTTTTGTAGAGATGAGGTTTCACCATGTTGGCCAGATGGTCTTGAATTCTTGACCTCAGGTGATCCACCCATATTGGCCTCCAAAAGTGCTGGGATTACAGGCATGAGCCACCGTGCCTGGCCCTTTTCTTACTTCTTGTAATAACAGGATGTTCCAGTTACAACTTTTATCTACTATACTTCACCCCTAGAATTAGCCATTTAATTACCATTTATGAGGAATGATATAGATCAAGATTTGGGTGGTAGGTGTCCTCAATGCTACTGGGGTATCTTTGCTTCTTAACCCCTTCAGCAGACAGATAGGAAATGTATTCAAGTATATATACCGACACCCAAACATACATGTAAATGTATGTACACACAGACATATACATTATATGTACACATAAATATACATACACACATTTTATAAAGTGTGAGTTTACACACACATACACACATTTTATAAAGTGTGAGTTTACACTGTTACCTTCATACCTACAGCATTGTTTATTTTTCCCATTCCATACTTACATGTGTTTTCGTCCGAGATGAGAATCCTGGCTCCCAGTAATGTCATTTATTCATTTGCTTAATCCAATAATGCATCTAAAATAGTTTCAAAATTGCTTTGCCCATACCACTACAGTCAATAAACCAACTAACAAGTCAGGATTGGTTTATGACTATTTGTCTCATTTCTTCCTAACACTTAACATCAAATGCTGAGTTATTTTTTAAATAACTTAGGCACATTGTTGATTTTTTCCTTCCTTCCTTCCTTCCTTCCTTCCTTCCTTCCTTCCTTCCTTCCTTTTTGTCAGAGATCTCATGAAAGCCAACAATTCATAAGAATGATTCAGCCTTGATTTACATAGTACATAAAAGGCTTCCAAATGTGGCAATGAAAGCTTTAGATTGAGATTTCTTTCAAATATCCTACTGGCCACTTGAAGCCACCCATAAATCAGAGAAGCAATGGGAGTTTCTTATTAAATTTTACAGCAAGTCAGAAATCACCAAATGAGAAGATTTTTCAAAAGGAAACTACTAGAGACTCTTCATGGAAAGTCCTACATTTTCCCATATCTTTAAGTTTTATAGTAATTCTATTAAGTCAGGTATCTGTGGAACACAGGGCAGTACATATTCAGGCTGTTCTTGGGAATGTTTGCACCTCACCTAGGGTCATGAGGATAGTAGTTGCCAGCAGAGAAGCCCAAGGAAGGAGATTTCCTAGGTCGTAGATGACAAGGGGTTGTACGAATTATGTGGAATCCCTAAGTGGAAAGTCACTGGGCTTCAACTCATCATCTAGTCTGTCTAAAAAATTCTAGAATTGTGTTTTTTATATCTCTGTGTGTATGTCCTTTATGGAACAACGTTCACCGTATATCCAGTTACCCAAGCCTGGAAGCCAGGCATCACCATTCCCTTCATTTCTATCATTCTGTACATCATTAGTAAACCCTAGAAATTATATCTGTAAAATTATCTTTTTGTTGATGATTTTCATTTCTACTATAGCTGCCATAGTTCACTATCCAATCTCTTGCACCCATAAAGGGAATAAACACACACACACACACACACACACACACACACACACGAGTCATGGTTAACCCCTGCTTCAAATCCTCCTTAGCTCTGAATATAAGAAGCACTGTGAGAAATCTGGACCCTGGCACTCCCACTCCTTTCAATTCCATGTGGGTCACCAACCTACTTGCTCCCAGTTCCCCAGCCATGCTCTCTAGCTGTTTCTCATCCAAAAGCCTTCCTTCATTCGTCTCCCCTTCCTGGAATCCACCCTTGATTGCCTTTCTCCGATTCTTAGCATAGCTTTCTCTTTTTAATTCTTCAAATCTAGCTTAAATATCAAATTAGGCATCTTCTTCCATTTCACATTAAGCAACACAATACCCCATTCATGAAATTCGTAGCATTTCTCTGAGTTTTGTTATTATATATTTAATTACATCCTTACCTCTTTTGTGTGCTTTTCTCCAATAGATCCTGAGTTTGGAGAAAATGGGCCCTTTCTGCTCCTCTCAACACTAGTTCTCCAATACGAAGGCTAGCACCTGACACATATACCACACAATCAGTAATTTTAGGTGAATTAACAAGTGAACATAAGGGAGGGTTATTTTGCTCGACATGAGAAATGTAACCTAACACAGAACACACATTAACCTTGCTATCTATTTTGGTAAAAATATTTGACTTGGAAATATTGAGATTTCTATACAAGCACAGCATCTAGGAAACATGTTTTGGTTGTTGTCTTGTTGGAGATTATTGTCAATCTGCTATACCTTAGGTATTTTGATCAGAGGCATTTTGCTAATTCCAAATTCTCCTTGGGTAGTGCATTTTTAAATGATTAGAACATTAAAATCTTTCCCCTTCAAAGTCTTATAATTTTTTTCTTATTTAATCAACAAATATCTACAGTAGTAGAAGCAGCTATATTACTGATGAGGATTAAACATTGGAGTAAAATCCTGAGAAAAAATAATATTTTTTAAAGAAGGCAACAATTAGTTAATATTTTCTTAGTCATCAAATAATGGGTTTTGGGAGCTAATTCTCCCCAATGAACAAATATATCTGCCATTACTGCAATTGTAATTTTTTTTTCATGTAACTGGGCCATAGTTGCTTCAATGCTGTTTTACTACGTTTTTGTTATTTGTGCTCTCTGTGCATATCCTATTCCTTTGAGAAAGGAAAATGGGTACTGTCTTATTTTTGTTGCTGAACTCCTTAGTCTGGAATTCACTGGTGTTTCCTTTTTTTAGAGCTGCTAAGAACTTGACAACTGGGGGTAATGTTTAATTTCAAGTGTTAGAAATATTTTTTTCAGAATTTTTTTTTTACTATTGGTTGTTTCATTAATAGAGCCTTTAAGATGAAACATGGTAATTTCAGAATCAGGGTAGGGTTCACTGAGTTAAGGCTCATATTTTAATGTAGCATCGAATAAAAATCAAGGCAAGGCCTACATGACTTTTTTTTTCTTTTTTTAGACGGAGTTTTGCTCCGTCGCCCAGGCTGGAGAGCAATGGCGCTATCTCGGCTCACTGCAACTTCCGCCTCCCAGGTTCAAGCGATTCTCCTGCCTCAGCCTCCCGAGTAGCTGGCATTACAGGAACCCACTACCACGCCTGGCAAATTTTTGTATTTTTAGTAAAGACAGAGTTTCACCATGTTGGCCAGGCTGGTCTCAAACTACTGACCTCAGGTGATCCACCTGCCTAGGCCTCCCAAAGTGCTGGGATTACAGACATGAGCCACCATGCCTAGCCCATTTTTTAAGCTTCTCATATTCTTCATTGTACTTAGCTTCTTAATTCAATGTTGCTGGTGTCTCTAGAGATTTATATTTGGAAATAATTAAATATTAATTTTATTTGTTACCAGAGAAGTAGATCCCCACAGAACAATATTGAGGTCATTGAACAGGAAGAACTGAGGGAGAAGATAGAAATGATGTCACAGGAAAAACCAGAACTGGCAAGGATGTAATGGTACTTTTGCATCAGATAGACAATCAGGAGGTATGGTGGTGAGGGTAGGAAGAAACGAAACAATTATTTATGGTGACATTTTTGTTTTAAAAATGTTTGCAGAAAGGGAATCAGAACAAGCCAATGACTGAAAAGAGAACATGCCAAAGATGAGTAGAATGTTGTTTCCAGGATTAAAACTAATAAAGAGTGTTTGAAAATGAAATAGGGTTAAGTACAGTTCAGGGGAGTTTTGTGCACAAATAGATGTATAATCATCAAAGACAATTAACCAAATATGTAAACAGTTTTTCTTGCACAACAAAAAGCATGCCATCGAAATTTTACTTAGAGATATTTCCTTAAAATGCTATCTAATATTTTACTGTCTTGACTAAAGAGATGGAAATTTGTCAGACTGGCTGAAGGGGACACACATAGGTGGTTGTTCAGTCTTCACTACCCCTGGAGAAAAGGTTCAATGCATTTTGTCAGGGGCTGATTCTAGGATTAGCTCTAATTAATATTTTCATTAACATGGATGATGGAATGGCATAACTTGATACATTTCCAATTATGGCAAATCGGATGGGGAAGCTAGCACCTGGAAGAACTTGATTACAACATAAGTGAACATTTTTAGTTGCAGAAGAGAGTGACTGACAGTTTATTTAGACAAGAGCAAGATGTTGGGTGTGAACCACTAGTATTGATACAAATACTTTATGTTTATGTTGTGTTGTAATATTTAGAAAACAAGTTCACATCTTTGCTTATTTATCTTACCTTCAACCTTGCAAACAGGTAAAATGATCACTCTGGAGATAAAGACGGGACTAAGTTTGCTATTAATGGGTTTGACAGAGAAATATGGAGGGATAGAAAGAAATGAGGACTGAGTGGAATAGTAAATTGCTAAATAAATTTGCATCCAAGCTTCATCCTAGGATGTTTAAAGATTTTTGCCTTGTGATATGGAGCATGGTGGGCTAATTTTACTGGTATTATCAAAATTGGGCAGGCTTTCAATTAGTGTATTTTGCTCAATTTAGCTATACAAAATTTAAGGACCAAAAAAATGGCATAGGTCCAGAAATCAACACGATTTCTAATGTGTTTAGAAGACTAACGTGAACAAAAGCTATGGCCATTATTGAGCATGAAGAGGGAAAGAGAATAGTATATATTTAACTTCAAACACACTTTCATGTTTCATTACTGGAAGAAAGGGCTGCAACTCTCTACTGTTTCTATTGGGTATAGGGAACTATATAGTCATTTTTTTTTTCTTTTCCTGGAAGAACATTTATAAGGAATAACATTACCTAACCATGAAGCTGAGATATATCACTTTCTAGTGGGATGCCTGAGAATAATCACTGCCCCTAATGCGTGTCTCTGTGCACCCTCCCTTCTTTCCCTTTTTCCTCCCTCTTTCTTTTACTGTTTCCTCACTCTCTTGCTAATTTGTTTATTTTTCGCCTTTAAAAAATACCATTACCATGCGTGGTGGCTCATGCCTGTAATCCCAGCACTTTGGGAGGCTGAGACAGCTGGATCACGAGGTCCGGAGATTGAGACCATCCTGGCTAACACAGTGAAACCCCATCTCTACTAAAAACACAAAAAATTAGCCGGGCATGGTGGCCGGCGCCTGTAGTCCCAGCTACTCTGGAGGCTGAGGCAGGAGAATGGTGTGAACCCGGGAGGCGGAGCTTGCAGTGAGCCGAGATCGTGCCACTGCACTCCAGTCTGGGCGACAGAGCGAGACTCCGTCTCAAAAAATATATAAAATAAATAAATAAAATAAAATAAAATAAATTAAAAATACCATTACTTTTGTTAATGAGGAATTTTTTGTTAAGACTAAAATTTGGACGATTAAAACCTGTCCTTAGAATGTTTTATTACATAATCCAGGCTTACCTTTTAGCATCATTTAAGTATTCTTACTATATACAACTGAGTACCAAGGAGGTATTTGGCTCCTTGTATTTTACAATGTGATATTGCTATGAAAGCCTAAAGTTCAAAGTGCCTTTCAGATACGGAAAATAATCATATATTATCTTCTCTTTTAGGTCAAATGGCAGGTGATCATACTAGGCTGGAGTTCCATAACATAGAGACTGGCATCATCACAGAACGACGGTATCTTTCTTCTGTCCCCTCCAACTTCATTGGACACCTGCAGAGCCTGACATTTAATGGAATGGCATACATTGATCTGTGTAAAAATGGCGACATAGATTACTGTGAGCTCAATGCCAGATTTGGCTTCAGGAACATCATAGCAGATCCTGTCACCTTCAAGACCAAATCGAGCTATGTTGCCTTAGCTACCTTGCAAGCCTACACTTCTATGCATCTTTTTTTCCAGTTCAAGACAACATCCCTAGATGGACTAATTCTATATAACAGTGGGGATGGAAATGACTTTATTGTGGTTGAATTAGTTAAAGGGTGAGTACGTGCCTGTTCAATAACAAAGAAATAAAACTTTAGAAAAACGGACATCAGTTTCCAAAAATATACACTAAGAAGAACACACTGGCTCATAAGGCGGGGGGCCGGAGTAGGTGGAGGACAAATAAGAATGCATTTGTTTAAATCACTTCTTAGGTATCTTAAATTAATATGGATTCAGGACAGTTTTTTGCACCTGCATTTTCACATACGAGGTACAAAGTACATCAGGCTCTAATTTATGGTAGGCCTTTCATGAATCTTACGATTCAAGTGGGCACTTCCTGACTACGCACAGTGTAATTCCACAAAAGCATTGCTACAAGTTTGTAGGATAGTCTAAGCTAAATTAAATAGCCAATTCAATATGCAGATTATTTAAATTTCAAAAAATCCTTTTAACTCAAACTTCATTCTATGTCAGAGTTCCTCAGTGAATTTAGAAAGGAAGACTTATGTAAACTTTCCTTAAAACTGTGAGGAAAATTTAATGTATTTTAATTGATAGGAGCGTTTATTCACTTATTCAGCAAATATTATTCCATATTTACAATATGCTACATCATGTGCCATGCACAGATATAAATATATATACTTCTACCACCCTTATGTACATCTCAGATTTCTACCACCCCGAGTCACACCCACACACACCAACACACAATCCTAGGATTTGTAGATGAACACATAAATAGAAAAGAAAAGCACTGTGACATGTTCCTTGAGATGATCACATGTAAAGGCTTAGGAGAGTCTTCAGGGAAATTAGAAAAACGTGTGGAGCAGGGAGTGGCTGTTTGATCTAGTTGTCGAAGGATGAGTACACATTCCCTATACTCAAACAGGGAATTGAGATAGAGGAGAAAAGCAGGTGCAAGAATGAGAAGAATGGCCATTTCAGTGGTTAGAAAAGGATGGAGGGAATTATGGAAATAGGAAATGTGTGGTGAAAGATATTACTTTCCAAATTCATAAAGTTAAATGTAGACTATGATTTTAAAAATAATTTTCACCATTTCCTTTAGTGAAGACACTGAATAATCCTCCTTGCTGAAACAGAATAATGTTTGTTACCTTCCTGATAGCTGAGTTTCTATGTAATTCATTGTCATGACTTCTAGTAAGGATGGAACCACTTTAAAAAAAAAAATCTCCATTTGTAATATCTACTTTAGCTTCATCAAAATTTAAAAAGTGATGGCACTTTCCCCTTTCATTTTTTTCCCAGGTACTTACATTACGTGTTTGATTTGGGAAATGGTGCTAACCTCATCAAAGGAAGCTCAAATAAACCTCTCAATGACAATCAGTGGCACAATGTGATGATATCAAGGGACACCAGCAACCTCCACACTGTAAAGATTGACACAAAAATCACAACGCAAATCACCGCCGGAGCCAGGAACTTAGACCTCAAGAGTAAGTGCATGTTAAGTCCGAGTAGCCAGCCTTGCACCTCACGGTCTCCCTTCACATGGGAAATCCTTTGCTTAGGAGTGTGTTTGTACCTTCTGCAAAGACTGACCAGAATTTCATTTTCAGCACATAATTAATAATACAACACACAAGTCTCTGCTCCCCTTTAATGTGGTAGGAACCTATGTATTTTTAATAACAGCTCAAAAAATGCCTCACCTAAGAAAGCATGCATGATTAAAATGTAAAAAGTTAGAAAAATATAATACTAGTCTGGCTATTAAAAAGGCATTTGTAAGTTACTTAAGTCCCAATAGTTTTCAACTGATTTGGAGTCAGGGAACCACATATATAGGAGCTTATTCTAGAGTTTATTAATTTTCTTTCCTTGGTAAGGTTTCCTAGATACTGTCAGACTCCCTGACTGACAGGAGTTGAGCCTGGCTTAGATACCCTGTGTCTACAACAGTGAATTCTATCCCCCATCCCAACAAACACACACAGAGACACACACACACACACACACACACACACACACACGGGAATGCTTCTTTCACCAGCTGCTAAGAAAGTCTTAACATACGTTTCTCTTCCTTATTGATACTTCATTTCTCAAATGTACGTGACAAAATGCTGAGAAAACATGTCAATAATAGAAGAGAAATGACTGAAGTTTCTATTTGAATCACACTTTGTGATTCACTAAGAATATATGTGTGTATCCCATCTCCTTTAACACTACAACAGGCATTCCAGAAGGTGTTATTAGCATGTTATTCTCAATGTAGAAAATCTGAGGTTTGAATGACTTGCCCAGGGATAAAACAACACCAACACCCTCCCCCAACCCCATGGATTCTTCGCTCTATCCTGATGCATCACAAAGCCCCACAGATGTCATTGCAGGCATAATTTTTCTTGGAAAGAGTTGCTCATTTTATTGATGGGATCTTTCCCTTTGATTCAAAAGGTAGATACATTGGAGAGGGGAGTTAGGAAAATGGAAAGATAAAATTTAACTTTTTTTTTTTTTTTTTGAGACAGAGTCTTGCTCTTTCACCCAGGCTGGAGTGCAGTGGCAGAATCTCAGCTCACTTCAACCTCTGCCTCCCGGGTTCAAGCAATTCTCCTGCCTCAGCCTCTGAAGTAGCTGGGATTACAGGAGCCTGCCACCACGCCTGGCTAATTTTGTATTTTTAGTAGAGACGGGTTTTTGCCATGTTGGTCAGGCTGCTCTCGAACTCCTGACCTCAGGTGATCTGCCCGCCTCGGCCTCTCAAAATACTACGATTACAGGTGTGAGCCACTGCACCCAGCCTCAACAGAACTCTTTCTAGAGAAAAATGCTCTTTCTAAATAAGGTGAAAGGAGAAAGAAAAGTGTTTCACTTTCTGTAATTGCAGAATATATTTTGAATCCTGGGACTTCATTTGTTCAACACATACAATGTGTAGGAATGGCCATCTCCCTTCTTTCACAGTGGGCTTCTCGTTAACTTCAAAGAGATCTTATTTGTACCCACAAATCTAATAGCTTGGCTCAAAAAATAAAATGAAATTCAAAGAAGTGCTTCTTACAGGCCAAACCTTTCTCTTTATTCTCTCTGGTTGAAGTGCTTTTTCTTCTGTACTTTTCATGTGCCCCTCCCTGTTTAGCACAGTGATCTCAGGTGGTAATTGTCAAAAGAAAGGGAGAGATTGTAAAATTCAGTGTATTGACCAAGCTACCAAAGCTAAAGCAAAAAGTGCCCTGTTTGTGTAGGTGAGACATCAGTAAGTATAAGTGAACTTCTCGGGAAATTAGGGATACTCTGTTGGAGATTAAAATGGCTAAAAAAAAGCAGTTCATAATTGGTTGAAGTATGTGCTATGCACATGCACATTGAGGGTTCAGAGAAGCAATGCTAAACAATGGATTGTATTTCTTCAGATAGTTAGGACACTGTCTCCTGAGAAGTAAATATCCGCGTATTGTTCATTAACAAATGGAAGTGAAGGTAATAGGAGATTGTAGTCCAGGATTCCTTCTGGTGGGGGTACTTAACACATCTAAGTACTTCAGAGTTAATTTTTATTAAAGCATTAAATGATGCATGATTCTGAAGATAAAACAGGCTTTGCCCATAATAAAGAAAAAAACACTTTATGAATTTTAAAATGGCATATTACATAATATTAAGATATAGAGTCATGAACTCACTGTACTTGTGTTTTTTAAAAAAGCATAATTAAAATTGCTTGTGAATTTCCCATGTGAAGGGGCTAATCATTAGTATAGAATAATACCTTCTGCGTTGTGGAAAAGTAAGAGCAAGTTTCTAAAATGAGTCCAAGTTTGGGCTGATAAATTGGGTGTGTGATCCGATGGCAACAGTCATCCCCTGTTGCCTCTTATCATGTGCACCATCAGCTAGAGGGAGTTTGAGGACAGCCTGCTGTGGGACCTGATGTCTCTTGTCTCCCATCATCACCACTTTGGGTAAGTGTGGCTGTGGGCGTTGGCCAGAGCATGAGTATTTACGGAGCATTGACTTTGGAAAGAGCACAACAGGGTTTCTGCAATGGAAAGCTCTCCGTCTCTAGGAGAACACTAGCATTGAAGGAGCACTTGTAGGACAGAGAAGGACAGGATGCTGTGGAGCTGTAGTGGGGCATTGAAACGAAGCTGGGATCACCTGGAAAGGTTTTTTGTGGCAGTAATGCTTGAGGGATATTTGAAGGGTGAGTAAGAGCAACGAGGCATTGTTTCTTTTTTCCACCTGGATGGCTACTGGATTTTAGAGGGGGTTATTCATAAAGGAGAACTTCTACATGAACTCTTTGCGCAGACATAGACAGCAGCGTTTTCTTTGCATACTAATCACATAGCATTGAGCTGCAGGAAAAATAAAGTTGATTTATTTTGGTCAATAGATTGTATTCTTAAAGAATTAAAGAAAACATCAGATTTACTCTCCACCCTGCTGAAAGTCATTGCAACTATCTTTGGTGCTTCTCAAAGGAAGGTCAGCCAATTTTAACTACATGAGAATCATGCAGTGATGTTTGTGAAGTGCAGATTTCTGGATCCTATCTGACACCAACCAAGGCAATAATCATTTGAGAGAGATGTTCAGAAAACAACAGGCATCTTTTTTTTTTTTTTTTCTTTAAGTGCATTGACTGATAGAGATGCCATGTGCTACAGAGTCCTGAAATAATGCAAGATCTATGTTGAGGCCAAATTTAACTGACTTTTAAATTTTTGTATAAATACTGGTTTTGCTTTTATTTCAGAATTTTACTGTTTTTTGTTTGTTTTGCCAGCCCTGGACTGAAGTCACATTATTGGCTGGTTAGGATTATTGGGAGAATTTTTTTTTTTTTTTTTATCTTCCTTATGTTTTACTATACCTTAAAAAGACACTAGAGGGCAGCAGAAGGCCACAAAACGTGCTACAGAGGACCCGGGAGTTGGGGAAACCTCAACCTGCTCCATTTGCAAGGGGAAGTAGAATTTCTTTTGTTTTCAGACATCTAAATTTCCACAGTTGGCTTTTATAGTGATGCATGCTTTTGTCCATAGCTCTGTTTTATTATAGGAACAGGACTTTAGTGTAAAACTTTGAAAACTGGGGCCCATGTATTTCATTCTCCACCTTGACCCCAATAGAGACGATCAGAAATGGGCAGGAGTCTAATGATCTTTCTCTCAGACGATAAATACCACGCAGCTGACCTTGTTCAGCTTATCTTTCCTGACACCGCTCGATTCTCAGGGGGTTGTGTGTCTCTCCCTGCTGATACAGTTTTGCTTTCATCTTTATTTCCCAGCTGTTTGTGTTCTATTCCCTCTGGTTATTATGTACAAGCAGCAACATGCAATGAAAGGAGCAGCAGCAATTCGCTCTCTGGAATGATTTCCTAGCCTAGCTTTGTATTCATTTCAGGATTTCTGAGCCCTGCCTCCTTTGGAGAGATAAAGGGTTGGTGCGATTCCTCTTTATGTTCCTTCTCTTGTTCCTGTATTTGGCAAATTTGTATGTCAGGATGTGCATATATATGGAAGGGAGCTAATATTTATTAAATACCTACTAAATGCTAAATAGATTTAACTGAGGTTATTGTATTTAATCCTTGCAATTACCCAGGGATTTAAATTGAGGTCAGTCTTGCTCATTCATTAATCTAGTTGAAGAGAAAAATAGGGAGGAAGAATTGCTTTTGGCCCCCACTTTCAATGAGTACCCTTATTTAAGGCATTACCTAAGTTTATCCTTCAGCAAATTGAGGATATATAGTTTACTTGATGGGGGAAAATTAGATTCCCAGCTGTGTAGCATAGAGCGCCCTCAGGTGGCCGCCTAGCAAAACTATGTAAAACTGAGTACAGTGATTTATTTATGGGCCACATCTAGGTCAGCCCAGACGGCACTTTGTTCTTTCTTCCTCCTCTATTCTCTCTCTCAAACCCAAAATTCCTTCAAGGGTTTTGAGCTCTGGCATTGTCTTCTGATCTTGCCCCTTTTCCTTCTTACCACGATCACCACCTATTTGTCTCCTCCTCAACATTCCTCCTATTCCTCCTTAAATCTCACCCTGAAGGGAACTGTCTGCCATTGTTCATCCTACTACCAAGCCACTTAAATGTCCCCGAATCAGAAACAACTCAACAGGGACTTTCTTTTCAAATATACTCAATCTCTAAGCAAAATTTGAAGATAAATAGTATTCTTGCTCTTTTCTTCTTGATCTCTGACCAGTCGCTATTACTCAGCTCCCTGCCTTCTCCAATCCTGAATATAACACATATCCCCTCCATTTTATACCGTTTCATGTTGCTACTTGACAAATCTTTACTGCAGTCATTCAGTAAACCAGATTCTGTTCAAAGTCATAATCACGTTTAAACATGCCCAGGCTTTGTAGATTCACCACACATGACATCTGATAGCCCACCTGTCTTGGCCAGATACTTTGTTTCAATAGAAAATATTCATGGAAGAGTGATGTTGAGCTTAGCCT